ATATATAGGTACTACACGTGGACCTTTCTCAGATTTGTTCATTTTGTGATGATATCTTCAATTCTCTAATTTTGGTGAATATTTTTGTAATTTTTGGTAAAAAGTGATATTTTCGACTTCTTGTTAAAAATCAATAGTTCAATTGCTTTGATATTACATATATAGATACTACATGTAGACCTTTCTCAGATTTGTTCATTTTGTGATGATATCTTCAGTTCTCTAATTTTGGTGAATATTTTTGCCATTTTTGGTAAAAAGTGATATTTTCGACTTCTTGTTGAAAACTGTAAGTCCGATTGCTTTGATATTACATATATAGGTACTACATGTGGAACTCTCTCAGATTTGTTCATTTTGTGATGATATCTTCAATTCTCTAATTAATTTATTTTGGTGAATATTTTTGTAATTTTTGGTAAAAAGTGATATTTTCGACTTCTTGTTAAAAACTGTAAGTCCGATTGCTTTGATACTATTCATATTGTTCATTTTCTAATGATATCTTCTGTTCTTTAATTGAAATGTGCATTGCTAACAGCGGAGCTATCTCAGCCGAGAGGCTGCTTGTTTTGACTTCATTCAAAAATAAAATCATTTTTGTAGGATGGAAACTTTTTTAAGGTCAAACCCCCCACCCCCAAACTAAAGCAAATAAGTTTTTTTTTATCTGACATCGATCTTTTAAAGTCGTCCTTTATAACAAACATATCCAATTCATTACCAATATTCTTTCTTAGCGGTTTGGGGTGCAAGTCTTTCTTCTTTCACAAAACAGTAACAAATTCTGATTTTTAATTCACCAGTCTCTAGGTGTTCAATGGTGTTTATATCCAATCCAGAGTAATTCATCTCTTCCTATATAATACCATATTTTGTGATTTCCGTATATACAATAATAAATATGTGACATTCAATTTTGTTTTTCTCTAGGGACGTCAAAAATTAGCCCGTTTCAATGCCAGGGAATTTGCCACTTTAATTATTGATATATTGAATGATGCGAGAAGGCGATCCAGTCATCGGTCAATTCTTAGAACAGGTAAAAGTAACTGCAATTGAATTGCTATTATGTTGGGGTATTTCACTTATGAAATGAACATGTGTTGTTTAGTTTCATTTATTTACGACACGACAAAGCTGTCTTTGTTTAATAGTGAGTGACCTGGATATCTTTTTGACAGCCGATAGATTTAATTCTTCTAATTTTCATTTGCACGCAACATTGTTTTGTGATCTCACCAAGTTGCACAGTAAAACGTTATCAACGTTCATCACTTTATGTCGAAATTAGTATTTGACTTGACTTTTCTGGAGAAAATAGTAAAGTTGAATTGCTCAGTACTAAAATTGATTAGGGGGTCCATGCATAACGCAATTTAAAACATATACCGGTATATGCAACAAAACAGACAGTGGGTACACAACATAGCGGAGTATACTCGCACTACTCCACAATGCAATACCATGGGAAAGTGGAAGCAAGGTAATAATTGAATTATAACTCCCATCTATTGGTGTATGAACACAAGATCAAAATCAAAGATGAAGGAATAAATACAAACAGTGTGGATTACGCATTGTCCCAGGAATAGCCATGCAGGGACTTACTTATGTTAGGAAACTGGTCGAGAGATATACCCACCTTAAAATATTTACATCACCATACTGAATCACATTATTCAAGTGTTTCTTGTATTCACACACCACTTGCTTGTACATATCCCAAATTCCTCAACATTTCAGATCATATAGATATAATGGCATATCGAGATCCGCCACCGGCACCACCACCAGTCAAACTATCCGAATCGCGTCTTGGGGTAGGTAAAGTTCCCAGCACGATTAGCGACGATGAACCCCTGTATGATAGTGTGGCAGGCTCCGATGATGAACCTGATCTTGAAGAACAATTGAATGCTGTAGAGCAAGAAAGTTCACCAAAAAGTAACCGAAGAACAGCGGTATGTATGGCTGCATGCCCTTGTATTGAACGTTGCATCCACAAAATGTTTAATCAAGCTAGTCAATTTCAAAGTCAAGGCACTTAAATTACTGATGAGGATAAAGTCATTTATAATGACTTCCTAGTCAAGAATTTAATTCTTGTTAACATGCCTGTTGACTTTTAACTTTGCAGAGCATGGCGTCATCTGAGCTGTCAGACGGACCAATCACAATAGAGGAATACTTGGAAGTCAAGAAAGCGCATGCATCAGCGGAAGCTAAAATTCAACAACTTGCAACGATGAACAAAAACATGACACAAGAAATCAATTTACTGCAATCTATGGTATGTTTTATTTTTTGTCAGTTTTATTGGATTTTATCACTTAGTGAAAGCAAATACCAAGGAGACTACCGGGTACTGTGAAATACTTTATTTTAGCTGGAATTAATTTTCGCTGAAAAGACTTTTAGGTGTTTTGTGTGGATTTTATTTTCACTGATTTTTGATGAGTTGAATGCAAAATATAGGAAAAAAGTATATTCGCTGGATTTTATTTTCACTGAATTAATTCCAAGTGAAAATAAAGTATTTTACAGTATTAACTAAATTTTAGGTAAAGCTGTTGTAATGACAGTATAGACAGATTTACGGTTGTGGCTATGAATGCATTTTTTGCAAACTTGTTTGTAGTTCACATCATTAATATGTGTTCTGCCCTCTATGGTGGAAATGAGTAAAATTTTATTTGAGGTTTGTTGAATTTGATATAACAAAATATTTTCTTCACTAAGTAATTTATTCAGTGAAAGAATTATTATTATAGTTTATACATTGAATTTATGAGAAACCAATGTAATAAACTGACCTTTGACCTTTTTAAATGGCACCATTTTCAGTTTACTGTAAGTGTATTAATTATTCACTGGGTTTTAATTTCACTGATAAATATTATCTGCTAAATTTAATCCGCACAAACATTTTAAATCAAATAAATAGAAGTCATTGTTTCCCGTGCAAATTCGTGAAACCTATTGAATCTGATCAAAATAGTGAAATTTTTAAAATGTCAGTGAAAATAAATGGTTTTACAGCTCTCGCAGTAAACTTATGTGTGTTATTTCATTTCACTTAGGTTCAAAGGCTGATGCAGGAAAACTCACAGCTTCGAGCAACACTTGTGCCCCGACCGGAGGAGGCCCCTGCCATCAGTAATGGACACGAATCATCACCGACTGTAGAGCCTGTCACACCAAACACACCAGGCAAATCACCGAGAACATTTGGGCGGCCACAATCCATGTTTGAACCTCGGGTACAGCAGCGTCAAAATCCATGGCCGGCAGAAGATGACAAAATCCCATCAACGGAGGACCTGTTGGCTGGCTTACCGTCTACCGTTGGGACGCAGCTACCAGGGGTTCAAACTGCTAGTACTGAATCACACGCCGTGGTAAGTGTGAGTAGCCCCTTATCACCTTATCAAATGGTCTACGATATTATCGAGACCACCTTAGGAAGTGATACTACTAGTACAGAGTCATCTGCGGTGAGTAAACCCCTCCCTTCATTGATTCCTTAGCTTTCGTAACCTTTGCACCCTGACCTCTGACCTTCACTTGTGCTGCTTATCGCTAAGCTTGGCTAGCCACCAATTCTAGACTCTGCAGGTAAGTATTACATCTTAGCTTTTTTTAAAAGAACAGATCAGACTCTCATTAATCCACTATCAGATCAGATTCAAGATGGCCGAATGGTGACCATTTTAATGTTACAGTCCATTATAAACCTAAATCTCAGTTATACATAAACACATATTGACAATCTTGGTACGTCCATTGAACATAAATAGGACTTTGTTCACATTTGATTCAAAATGATCTTCTACAGCCATGTTTCTGACATTCATTGACTGATCACAACCAAACTTTACAACTATATACATCATGTCATTTGTTTTGTGTTCTGATTCAAAATGGCCGTCTCATTTCAGTTTTGTTCACTACTGTACCAATAAAAATTCGTTCATTAAAACTTGTGATATATCTAATTTCGTTACTGATATAACTATACTTGAAAGTGTTAAGTTTTATCAAATACATTAATTTTCATAAAATCAAATCTGTTCATACAATAATTTCTCTTAAGATTTGTTTTTTCAGACATGGTCTGTACCTGCAGTCACCTGTCACATTTGGTATCCACTCTTCAGCTCTAGTATCACGAGTCACTTTATAATTTAAAGTTCTTATATCCTCACTGTAATTGTAAACAATTAAAAAAAAAAACTTTTTAGACTCTTTTATAAAATGCCCTGCAATGCCAAAGATTTCAATATCTATCTCTTCATTTATTGTCAAGGGTGGATAATCAAAGGCATGCAACTTGATGATAATCTTATTGTAATATCGTGCGACTTGCTCAATGCTTGTTTTGTGCAATGTATCAACATATGGCATGATCGACTTACTGGATTTTCTTATTCATCAAAGTTAGTAACTTTGGTAGCAATTAAAGTCCTATTTGCTCACATTGAGCCGACTGTTTATAACGCTAGTGTACGTTTTGGCTATAACTGTAAGTGACAGCGATGCGGTACAAACTTCTTAATAATGCAATGCATGTAAATGATATGCATCGTGATGACAGCTACATTGCATGCCCTTAATTATCAGCTGTTTTTGTTTTGATTTTTTTTTCACATTTTGTTGCATTTTCTTGGTGATTGAGACATTTTTTTTTACGCAGTGTTTTGTAACATTGTAAACTAAGCTGTTTCTCATTGTGGTATTTGTGACTTTAATTCAGCTTAAAAACAAAAGTCATCAATCAATTGTGGGTGGGGCCTTGTGCCAAAACTACCCAAATACTGTGTTGTTTGTCATTGCATTTCTTTGTTATTACAGATTAAGAGGAGTGTGAGACAGACTGGTACATTGACCAAAGTAGAAGAGAGAACGAGCCAGTGTGATAGTGATTATGACAACACTACGCTACAAACACAAGAAGATATTATACAGACAGTGTAAGTACTGACCCATAGGTGACTCCAAACACATGGTCTCATAGTTGTCATGTGTTGGGATGGCAATCAAGATATCTTGGGAAATCGAAGGGTTGAATTATCAAGTTTAAAACATGAACAGTCATGTTAAGAGATACGATTCCAAACTGGCATTCATTAAAACAATATGTTCACCAGTGGGGGGAGTTTGAATCGGATCTCAAAAACAAGATGACGTGTATCAAGGTCCTGTCATGTTCAATGTATGTACCAAGTTTGAACAAAATCTGTAACTGAGATCCAATTCCAGAAATGCTTGATTTTAATAAATTTCAAGTACAAAAATGGCCGCCATTCAGCCATTCTGAATTGGAACGTGAACTGACTGAATGTGCGTTGCTATCCAAAGATGCATGATGTACATGTGAAGTTTGAAAATAATCGGCACAGTGGTCCGAACGGGGATTTTAATAAGCAGCAGGCAATATATTGGACATAAAACATTATACTTCCCTTTTTTTGTTTTCAATAGCCAAGACTCACTCATACAGAATCAATCATCAACACAGAAAGACCACCTTGCTGTGAGCAGTAGCAGTGGTGGGGCTGATGCTTCTATTGAAAAATTACCCCGTCAAGAAGACATTATCAGACAAACAGAACAAATCACAAGAAAAATTCAAAAATTACTTATAGCTGCTCAGGCACAGAAACACGATAGGTAAAGATGCACAGTATTTGCAAATCAGAAATTGACATACATTTTTGATTATTAATATAATATTCTCTCATTATTTCTATAACGGTTTTGACACTTAAAACCCTATCGCCATTTTCCCTTTTGTTCACACATCTACAAAACTGTAGAATAAGTATATGAATGCAATAGATCTCATTACGTATGCTCTAATGTCTCGTTTCAGTTTTATACCGTGTTCAGAAAATATCCATAAAGCGGTCAAAGAAATGGCCGATCTATTTCCTGAGGTGGGTATACAGACATTTTTCGTCAAATCCGGCGCTCAACTTGCAGTCGTCATGGTCAATTGGTTGTAGTCATGTGCAAAATAAGTTACCGTACAAAAATAATCCATGTAATGTCAGAATATAAAGAAAAATTTGCAACAGATTCCATAGCATAATTGTTACAAGCATTCCTATTGGAAAATCATACTATATATATATACATTACTTAAATTGCTCAAAGTATTGTAGGTGCAAATGTCCAACCTGTAATTTTCAACATCCCATGACCAGGATGCATGCTATGCAGTGATTAAGCCCATACGTTACGTATAACCACAACCCCTATGAAAGCGCATTATTCTGCAGCCAGGCAACAAGACCCCTCAAGTAAATGTTTGAATTGATAGGTTTCTCCTCGCTACATCAATACAATTATCGTTTCTGTTTGTCATTTCACAGATGCCAAGTTCGGAGAGTGTCAGAATGGCTCTAAAACTGCTTCTAACCAGTGCTAGTCGTCTTCTTGGAGAATGTCAATCAGTGTTGACTTCGGAACAGATCTCATCAACAGATTATCAACAAGTGACACAGCAAGTTATAACCACAAGTTTTGATATAGCGAAAGCCGCTAAGCAACTGGTGACACTGTTTCAATAATACAGATAGCGAAAACTGCTAAACAACTGGCAACCCAGTTTTAGTAATACAACCAGCGAAAGCTGCTAAGCAATGAGTCTAGTTGCTTAAAGTAATACATATAGCATTATGTAACAGATGCCCATCAGAATTAAAAAAATGTCCACGCCATTTGTTCCCGTTTATTTTGACTTTTTCACGAAAAAAGTCCTGAGAAATCTAATGAATGGATTTTCAAGTCATAAGAATTAGAAGAAAAAAAACATTTGCGTCTGAAAGCTTCAAGTGTCATCATAAAGACATTTCTGTAATAATGGCTGCCAACTATCCATCGGAATTCAGAATTGACAACGCCAATTCAAAGTTGTATAAACAAATTTTAAATACCATATTCACACAAATGTTGGATGAATTTTATCAAAATATGTTTTATTTGCCACATGTCATGATAAAAGATGTGTAGAAATTGTTTACTTCTATTTAAACCCCCCCTCCCCAAGATGTTATTTTATTGTTAATTTTCAAAGTTATAGAGCTACTTATGTAAGATCAAAGTCCCTCTCATCGCATCTGCTCACCCTATAGAATGGAATAGAATAACCCAACTGAAAAGTTGATTACAATGCTGTCTGAGTGAGCTGGGGTAGGCATGCATGAAAGTAGACTGGCGCAGTCGGGGCGATTAATTTGTTTTTGTAGTTTAGATAAAATAAAAAAAAACGCGAAATGGAGGTGTTAGCGTAACTGCGAAATCACCCTGACTGGTTTATTCTGCATGGCCCTCTATCGACACTGCAGGAACCCGTCGAATTTTCAACGGGTAATTATGTTAATGAGTGTTCTAATTGACAATCACCTAAGCCAATCACGTCTCTTCAACTGACCTCTGATCGAGAAGACGTCGGCTGACAGTAGCAGCCGTTTTATTTTTAATTCTACGACTAGTACGAGTTACTTTTTAAGTCTATTTACGACGACTACAACAAACTCAAATTTCAACGTGCAGCCATGTTGGGTCTGCAATGTGACCTTTACCATGTTGACCTAATTATGCACGCATTTCCGCGCCCACCTCATTATAATATGTGCATCATGAATATTTAATAGCAATGAATTTCCTGCAGAATAAACCAGTCGGGGTGATTTCGTGCTAACACTTTTATTTCGTGATTTTTTTTATTTTATTTAAACTAAAAAAACAAACTAATCATCCCGACTCCGCCAGTCTAACATGAAGGGTACAATCCAATCAAAGCCATAGTTCAGGAAACATTATTCATATTCTCTGTTAGAAGCATTCGTCTATGCAATGCCAGTGAATCATTGTTAAACTGATTTAATCCTAAGTGGCTTAATAATTAATCTCAATCCACTGCCATCTCGTACTGTAAAATATTTTTATTTTCGCTAAAGCGGTGATTCAATGAAAATTAAATCCAGCGAATATATCTTTTTTTTCTATATTTTACAATTCAACCCATCAAAAATCAGTGAAAATAAACTCCATACAAAGCACACAAAAAGAAAATTTCCAGTGAAAGTTAATTGCATCTAAAATAAAGTATTTTACAGTAAGCCATTTTTATAAAGAGTAACACGTATGTTTATGGCACAATAACTTTGCCAATCATTGTCAGACTAGAAAAAGTGAAATAATGAAGTGGAATATTTTGAAAAGCTTGTTTGCCAGGATCACTGGTTTTCTGTTGCATTGTTATTTAAAGCGGGGGAGTCGTTACCTGCGCGTGCTTCAGATGGCCATAGCGTCATTGTTTATAAACAAGCGTCTACCTATGAGCCTTTGCATTTTCAGCATGTGTTGTATTTTGGCCGCTTGGGATTCAATTTCCTGCGCATACACAGGTGACGACCTTCCTGCTTTAACCTTGATGCTTGCAATTAACATAAAACATTTTAAAGATATTCATGGCGATATTAGTATTCTGCATTTGAATAAACACAAGTTTGCTTCGCTGCTTTTTAAAGCCCCTCTTGTTTATGTAAAATAGAATTGTTTATTAATATTTTATGCAGCTGTTTGTATGGATCAACTGTGTTTATAGATTTATTTCAAGTTTGTGTTTTTTATAATTTTAATACCAGTAGTCTTAAAATCGGAATATATCCTTCCCCTCCCCTTTTTCAAATTAATAGGCTTTATGTATGACCTCAAAGGGTCGCACATCCTGGTACACAAATTCCCTAAACAAATATAATTGTCACATTTCAAAGGTGTAAATTGCAACAAATTGGTGTATATTTATATGAAATAACATGAAAACAGTACCAGGGTGTATGACCTTCAGGAGTTTTGCATAGATTAAACTGAAATACAGGACGGAAATTGGAAAATATTTTTTTGTGAATATTCAATTTTGTTATAAAATCAAATTTAACCAGTTGTTTCACACCAATCAGCATGTTGGTTGTTCTGTATTTAAAATTAACTTTACATAACCCAGACGCTGCAATCTAGTATCATTAGGAAGAGCCACCCACCCCCATTAGTGAAATGAGTGACTTGAAAACATGATCAAATGTAATACCCACTTTCCGTCAATTTTAAAATTATCCAAACGAGATGGAAAGAATAATGAAGTGCTGTATAACTGCTGTGTTTTATTCATTTTCAAGCTTATTGCAATTAGTTAATCATTTGCTGCCAAATTCAGATATTGTGGAAGTTTCAACTAGATTTATATGTTGCATTTCAATGATAAATGCACCTGATTTATTTACCAAGATAATAAAATATTTATAAAATTAATGTAAACATATCTTTGTCTGGTTCTTTAAATCTATAGAGTTGCTCTATCCATATATGGTATGAAACAAGACCATTAATCCATTTCATGTTCTCATCACCCTTAAAAAGTCAGATTGATTATTCAATATTTTATTGCATATAAAATGTGATTGTGGTATTAAATTTCATTGGTAATTTAGTACTCATAATATTCATCTTTATTTTCAGTAAATAACTGGACTATAAGTCAGTTATAACCATAAAACGACAGTCTGTATACAAATCTATATTGAAAGATACCAGTAGTAATTACTTTCTGTAGCTTTTATATAGACTTTTAGTTGAGGATATTTAGTAAAACTGGAAATTTTCAACTAAAAATTGACAGATATGTAGAATTTCATTCTGCCAAATCAAATTTTGTGTCTGGCTTATAGTCTGTTATAGGTAATAGAGTTTTGAATTGGATGTTAATGTCATTTTCTCGGACGAGTGAATACCTGAGAAGCGTGTATGTTAAATATACCCTACCCTACTAACTCAGTTGTTTTTGGAAGTGCATGTAAAATAAACAGTTGCAATTATCATATACCTCATCAACGTATAATGTACCTGTTATTTATAAACTTATGCGCTACTAATAAAGCAAAAATCTGACACAGGAATGAACTATTTAATAACTTGCTGTTGCTCCTTATGTTCTGTGAACCACTACGGTTTTATTAAATAAAAGCATTAATTTTACACTATGACGGAATGGCTTCACTGTCATTCATGAAGCATACAATATGGCACTATTGATTTTATCAACTGAAGAGAAGTGAAAATGCTCTGTATCCAAAGTTTGTGAAGATGTCCACTTTGTATCCACTACCACATGTACTCAGTACCTGCAAAAAAAGAAACAGTAAATACACAAGACATTAATCTGTCACAATTCAACGACTCACAAATGTAATCAACTTACTATCTAATATAATTATCATCCAGTATATATGAACTACAAAATTTTAAGGCCAGGTATTACAACGTCAACGCCATCTGAACATAGTGAAACTATTACAACCTTGCCCATTATCAATCTACCTAATAATTAATGAATACAGACAAAAACTGCAGCACCAGGTTAAATCGAAGTACTGTAGTATGGTCCTTGAGGCATACAGAAAAAGAAACCCTGGGAGGTAAGTAGTTATTGTAAACATTCTCCAAGACAGATTGGAACAGGGAAACTGTTAAGCACAATAGGGGGGGGAAGTGAGGGGAATGGATGGTGAAAACATTGCATAATTTTATATGTGATTGGTACTGATAATGTTTGGGGAATAGTGACAGTCTTGTTACTATTTTAAAAAATTACTTACTAGTCAGCAAAGAAAAAAAAATAAAATTTAGCCACCCTGTGCTTCAGTACTATATTTGAATGCATTCAGTTGATATCAGTCTTATCTGTATTACAGGTAATCTTTTTTTTATCTCCTCAGACAAAATAAAAGTACAATATTTTTTGATATATTTTTTGTAATTCTGATCAAAATAAGTAGCAGATTATGTTTATGTGGTCCATAAACAAATGAAATTTAGAAAAAAATTGCAAAATGTTACAACATGGTGCTCAAAAGGTTAAAGTTCACGGCATTCAATACAGTCCAATGAATGGCAAATACATTGTTTGTTTATGCAAAATTAAAACAAACTTTCAGTGGTACTTTAATAATCAAAGTTTCAATCAAGTCGGTTGAATCAATTTATCCTGGGATTAACGAAGACTAAACGTTTGTGACTTACCCGATTATTTTCAGAGTGTGTATTGATTGCTATACTATAGACGCTAGTAGGCGTACAAGGAACGCACGATTTCATGTCACCATTAATAGTCCAATGATAAACATTGGAACATGTACCTCCTGATATAATCTATAGAAACAAAATAAATATTAAAAATAAGATACGAGTCAACATTTACACAAACAGGTGATTTGGGTAGTCAAATGGGTCTCTATTAAAGTTCATGAGATTGTCATTTTAGGAGTACAAAGAAAGTGTATGTGCTGGGTCAGAACTGTTATTTTATACAACGAGAACTTGAAAGTTGTCAGGGAGTTAATGGCAGTTGAGCGAAAATTCAATATTAATGACAAGTTCATACACTGTTACAGATGTTAATGCCACTCAGTAGTGCACAACTAATTTACTTACGTGCAACACGTGACTGGAACTTGTGAAATCTACATCTTTTTCTGTCTCATCAGATCAGTTTTTATAAACATTTCACAAAGATAATTATGCATGGACTAAACAAACATTGCAATAATATGATGATGATGCATACACAATTCTTGCCTCTGACTATATTCTGTATATTCTTTTTCCACTGGGAAAGTAAAGAATTCTACCTTTAATAAATTTGTTTTTGTCAATGATAGAGGAAATTCAAAGTTGACCTCTTGAGGGCGCTACACTGATCATACAAAGTTTTTAGAAAAAAAAATATAATAACTTACTGTGTCTTCATGGAACATGACATGTTTTTGACAGATGTTTGGTGTTGGGAATACTACAGTTGGTGTCAGAGATCTCATGTGCCAGGATGTTAACGTTGGTCCACCACCGCATACCTGGAAATCATACACACATTTCATATTTATATTTTATACTGCGTTTATTTCAGGTTAAAGGAAAACTGTCTTCTGTTTTCTGAGTATATACATTGCTTATAGTTGTAGTCAATATTGTATCTATCTTCACAAAACAGGGTCCATAGCACCAAGAGCCAAATAATTTTCAAAACTTTTCCAGACCTTTTCCCAAACTTTCTTGCATTTTTCCCCAAGACATTTTGACTCTTAATTTGAGTGCGGAGGTAGCAATCACTGACGGCACTTGTTGGAACTGGGGTAGAAAACACTTTATAAAAAAAGACTCTATGCAGAGAAAACGAGCCTTTCTAAAATGAATTACTGGTAATAACTATAAAGAAATTTAAAGACTTTTCAAAGATTTTTTATTTTTCCTGTAATTTAAAGACAACTCAAAGACTTTCCAGACCTCAAAAAATTCAAAGGATTTTTTCAACGCTACGGACCCTGATCAATGAGCTATGAACAATCTCAATAAATAATCTAGTTTTGTAGTTAGTTTGCTTATAAATGCAAACCATCATTTTTTATCAACATTCCAAAAATAAACAAGTAAACATGCATTGTAAACAAGACTCTTTCACTATATAAACCAACACATTCCCAGAATAGAAAGTGGACAGCTACAACAGGTAAATGTCAGCCAATTTGACCATGCCAAAAATACTAGGTACAGTAAACAGCAGTCACGGTGAATGACAATAAGTTACAAAACCTAAAATGATTCTCAATTTAGAAATTGTTGCTGTAATTAAAATCGGAAAGCAGGTACTGTAAAATCATTTATTTTAACACAAATTAATTTTCACTGCACAATTGCTTACAACTACCAGTGTTACCCAATCAGCACATTGTTATTTGCGTCTACCTGTGAACACTTATAAACAATAAATAGGTTACAACTCTTATTTCTTATGTACATTATAGCAGCATGAATACTGTTAACTTTTTAACCTTTTGAGCACCTTTGTCAACTTTTGACACCATCTACAAAATTATTATGTATAGTCTTCTTCTTCTAAAGCTAAAAGTAATATTTAAAACTGTCTGTGTAGCCCAAAATGTTGTGAATCAGTCTCAAAGACTTTCGTAAAATGTTATTCACTAAAACTGTACATTTCTTAAATCGCAATAATTTGTATCAGTGAAAATTAACTAACTTGTGTAAGCGGTGTAAATATTTAGAAAATGTCAAAATAATCACTGGACACAAATACAGAGATCATCATACAGACTCACCATCCAATCATCTGATGAGTCTACAGCAATACATCCAATCCATTTGCCTTGGTTAGGTCTGCTACACTCCTGAAATAAAAATATGTCTGTAATACACAGTGACAACAACAAGTCTACTGTAAAGGGGTTAATTATTCACTGGGTTTTAATTTTGCTCATTTCGTTGACTGGATAATGCGCTAAATTAAAACCCAGTGAATATGTAAAATTTAGCATAGAACACATTATCTAAATGATAAAACAGTGAATCTATAACCCACTGAATATGCCTGAAATGGTAAGTCAGCAAAATTTTAACCCAGTGAAAATTAGTCATTTTACAGTGTATTGTGGAATAATGCATCCAAATACAATACAGCCTTGAGAATAGTAATGTTGTTTCCAATTTTGGTGGGGGGGGGGGGGGCAATTGGTTTTTGGTTCATTTGATTTCAAAAATCATTGCGTGAATACATTTTTCTTTTAAACTTATTTCTTCAAATTTAATTATAAATTAAATTTAAATTAATTTTTCATAAATGTACATTATTTTTCACAAACACAAATGTTGACCAGAAATAAAAGAAAAACGATTTTTTTACATCATTAATGCAGATGGTACTATCATTTGTAGTACTCCGATAAGTGCAATTCAGCACCCTAATAAAATGTTATTATTTATGGTAGTTAAAAACCAATCCTCTGATAAATCCTGGTTTGCCATGGCAATCTCTCTCCACATCGTAAATAACTATTTTACACATGATTATCTGCATCAGTATTGACACATATACTTGATAACACATACAATATATCAACAGGGGAAACGGAGAGAAATATAAATAAGATCTAATTAATATACAGAAATTAATATAAATGTGTAATTTGACGCTACATGGGCTGGTCATAAATATATTTGCAATAGATGTATCTTACCATAATTACACCATGGTTGGAATCAAGTAACATTTATTAATATGGATAAACAAAATTATTAAAAATAAATATAAACTGAATATTTTAACATCCAAAATTAATTTATGATTGTGTAATCTTTTTTAAATACATTCAGTAATACACAATTAAGATGAATTAAAATGTGTTTTGTATCAAGTACAAAAATATAATTATAATTCTGTAATTTTACAATTCTTAGTTGAGTTTTTTAAATAGTTCTCTTGTGAAAAATCACATCACATTCACATCTAAGGTCGATTAGATGATGAGTTATTTAATTTGTATAGACTGGTGTCATTATTATTATTTTATAAATTAAAGCTATAATTTGTGTGAAATAAAGTCACATTTGCAATAATTTCTGGAAATACGTAAATAAGGGGCAATCTGACAACTATCATCTCAACATTCATCTGGCATGTATTTTTCAAGAAGTTGTTTATTTAGAAGATGGTGAACGTTGGGCAACAACAACGAAAATGAAGGACTGACTATGACAAGCTTGGGTGTCATACTTGAAGATGTGGGAGTTAAAAATAGAAATTTCTAAAACAAAACTTTTAACTTACTTGATGTTTGAAAGGTTCAATGACATGGACAGCTTCACTTGAAGTCCGTGTATCTGTAAGATCAAACATTACGGATGAGATCCATAAGGCAGACGAGAAATGTTCATAAATGTTCCAGGATAATGCACAGACATGATTAGTTTTTGGTCAATATCTGGGCATATTAATCACTCATTTTACATAATAATTAGCCAATTTTAAACTGTTTCAATGATACAGGTATCTCGAAAGCCACTCAACAGATTTCAATGAAACTTGGTGCAAAGGTGCTCTAGGCTCATCTACAGACCTGATTAATTTCGGATCGAAATCCATCGAGTCCCAAGCGATGATAACAACACATGTTTAAAGGGCAAAGGCTCATTGGTAGATGCTAGTTTGTAAACAACGACATACTACATGTATGGTACAACTCCCCCGCTTTAAATTTGTACTATTCCCCTTTCTACTTCATATGCCTGTCACACTCACACAGCACAGTCCTTTCTAAGATTTTAACTGATGACACCAGGGATTTTTTTAAACAAGGGAACAGGGGTGCAGCACCCTCATGCCATGGCCTGCTACCCTGGGAAGCAGATCCTCTGGCAACCATGAAATTCTGATTGACCAGGCATCACATGTGGCCTCAGTCTTCAACTGTGACCTGTCTGATAGTAATTTTGGGCCTAAGGAAGCCATAGAATGCTCCATTTTAACTTTAAAAACTCCACACCCTGGGAGGGAACCCTATCTCCCCCCCCCCTCACTTGGTGGCGCTGCTGAATTGCAGTGCTCCCTCCCTCTAGAAAAAACCCTAGACACTAATAATCAAATAATCATCTGATAATTCTGATTTATAGGTTTCTATGGAGATTTGTATCTATGCTTCTCTCATAGATTCACAACTCACCCCACACCCTGACAGAGCCATCTTCAGACCCAGACATCAATTCCTGCCCATTATATCGACTTGTTAAACAATGAATATAATCTTTGTGGCCTTTGAGAGTGTTCTAAAAGACAAAAGTTGCATGACACAAGTTCATTCAAGTTCCAAAAAAAATAACATTATAGTCACAGTTAACAATACTGTACAATTGTTGCTACGTTGATTTGATAGTTTTAGGGTGTTTGTCAGAACAGCCTGACACAGTGCCCTCCACAGACAGCTTCAAACCCATACATGTGTCGTTGGTGGAAGGCACCATTCATACCATCATGACAGTCTAATATCAATATGTCACACAAGTGTCTTCTACTGTAAAATACTTTATTTTAGCTGGAATTAATTCTCGCTGATAAGACTTTTTGGACATTTTGTATGGAATTTATTTTCACTGATTTTTGTATGTAAAATATATGAAAAAAGGTATATTAGCTGAATTGTATTTTCATTGAATCATTCCTTCAGCGAAAATTAATTCCAAGCAAAAAATGTTACAGTATTTCATCCCATGGATTTTTTACAAATACAGAATTTTCTCTATTAGATTTGAGAGCAGACATGATAGAAATAAAAGTGTCTGCCACAATTCTATGTTTCCCAAAATACTTAACCTGCTGACAGCAGTTTTTGAAATACCGGGTATATACACGGCTTCCAGGTAACACACTAAACATACCGTATCTTGTTGATTAGGAGATTTAACGGAAATGTGTGTGCACCAAAACTGTTAATTAAACTGCACAGTCATATATATATCTTAAGTGCATATTACATTGCATTACATATGACAAAATGAGTCAAAATTTCAAGCAAATACATTAAAAATGTCAGACCTATGAAATATTTTATCCGAATCATACAGTAATGTTGAAATATAGCCCTCAATACACAACGATACAGTTTTTCTGCCCCGTCATTATCTGAAACATAATTTCAGCAGATATGCCGATAGTTTGTTCATATGCCTACCTTCCTAGTTCCAGATTCCAAATCCCATACATACACATTACTATCACCACAACCAGAATACAGAAGATTGTCCTGTTCAATAAAAGAGTTTTACATGAATTAGCATTGAGAACAAAAATTTACCATAATTCTGTTGGAAATTACATTTGTTCAAAACATGTTTTTGCTTGTTTCAAAATTCCAAATTTCCTTTATTTAGAATAAACTACGCCACTTAAATTGAACATGTTAGAGTTTATTCATATTTACACACTTTGCTTTGTTTCAACAGATATGGCAGCAATATATCACATTATGTCATCAGTATAACATGTTTTCAAGTAAGAAAAAGATATGTCATAATAAATGTGTAACAATGAAGTCATCATGAGAACACCACCAAGTGACAAGTTCATGTATAGGATCATGTGAACCTCTTCGATGTGTTCTATTTATTCTCTGCACTAAATAATTCCATGATTCAAACAGTAGAACTGAAGTTAATAATGATGAATTTATATTAGGCTTACCTTTTCTTGATACGACAAGCAATTGGTTTCTGGATGGTTGAAGTAACCATCGACAGGCACTGATAACGACCACGCTACTTTAGGTGTCTGATGAAAAAAAAAATCAATTACTTTGTAACATGGAAATGGCAATAATACTCATCAAGGAGTATTACCAACAAATGCACTCGTAAAATGTTATTGTTTTGCAGCTTACCTTTTTGTATATGTCTGACCAATTCCATGCATTAATATCTCCCTCTCCACCACTGAAATCAGACAAATATTAAACAGAGCAAGTAAAATCTATTATTCCGTATTCCGAACACAAAAATAATACAAAATCCTGTCTGATTATTCTTGTGTTCATGTAGTATTCTATGGGTTATATACTACATATGGATTTAATATATTTTGTAATGCATATTGTAGAACAGCAGGAACTAAAATAAATTGGTTTTAGAATCGACTCACAATGTAATTATACATGGAGGTGCTCAAGACACGATTGACTGGCAATGTAGTCTCACTAAATTAGAATGTTATTTTGAGACTGATGTCAATCACAAACGTAAGCCAAAACACTGAATGCATGGGTTTGGTGTCTTTATGTCTAAATTAAACCTGAACTATTATCCTTAAACAGTGTTTACAAATGTACTTTTAGTTTTGTGAGCTCAGTCTGGAAATCTGACAAACAATGCTGGTCACGCTATGGTTGTTGTATTAACTTTAATTGTATTAGCTCCATAGTGTTGTTTTACACGTTGGTATCATCAGAGTTGAAGTGCCATGTGTTATATTAGCCACATACGGTAACACGGTAAGGCAAAATGATGTTTTTGACTATGGTGCTGTTTAGATTGTGTATGACCTGACCGTTGTATCCCATTTGGTACAACAATGACAAACAAGCAGCCTGTCGGCTGAGATAGCTCCGCTGTTAGCAATGCACATTTCAATTAAGAACTGAAGATATTATTAGAAAATGAACAATATGTATAGTATCAAAACAACCTGACTTGCTGTTTTCAACAAGAATTCAAAAATATCACTTTTCACCAAAAAGAATCATCAAAATTTGATAATTGAAGATATCACCACGAAATTAACAAATCTGAGAGAGGTCCACACGTAGTACCTACCGGGTATATATGTAATATCAAAGTAATTGGACTTGCGGTTTTCAACAAGAAGTAGAAAATATCACTTTTTACCAAAAATTACAAAAATATTCACCAAAATTAGAGAATTGAAGATATCATCATGAAATGAACAAATCTAAGAGAGGTCTACCCAAGGTACATATATACCAAGTATCAAAGCATTCAGGCATTTAGTTTTCAAGAAGAAGTCGAAAAAATAAAACATTGACACGGACGACGACGGACAATCACTCATATGATAGTACAAAGTCGACAGCATAGCTAAAAACATATTAAACTCACCATATGAGAAACTTGTCAGTTGCTATTAGTGAATATATTGCACTACTGCTGCCTGTAATAGATGTGTATATTGTTTAAATTCTCCAGTACTTGTCATTGAAAATTCAACATTATCAGTACTACCATACTTGTCAGAGAATAAATCCCTGCTTGTGTATCCTCGGGGGCGGAGCTATGTCACAGACATTCTACGTTGCTAAGACGCACATCACTGTACCACGTATTTCTATGGGCTCTGTGCGCGCTGTTGTGGAACGCCGGTGGAGCCGGTGAAAATTCGAGAAAACAACACAAACTCAACTTTGAAGTAATCCTGAACAACCAAATTCATATATGTTACACACGTAGGGCTAATCTTGTTACACTGTTCAGGGGACTCTCAACAACCATCGCAAAGTACCGTTTTCTGCGAGTTTTTGGTCTTTGTTTTCAATGCGAGGGTTGCCAGGCGGTAGAAAATGCCCGGATGTCCGCTCCCGAGGATAATCACCCCCTCCCAATTTACAGCATTTTACACTACCGGAAAGTTATTTATCCAATTAACATGCATAATAAAAATGAATTACATTGCATGCTGCTCCATATTGAGACTACCGGTAAATGTTATATACACATGATCACAACATTCTCCAGGGTGGTCGGTGAATTGTGAGCAGGATGCTCCGTATTGTAAAACAAAGATTCAAATACGTGTTTTTCATACGCTAATTATCACAAACAATTCATGAATCCTAATTTTTAGCAATTAATTAACGTTAACAGTGAACTCATATAATGCCTCATACAATGTACATATTTTGATCATAAAACATCCTCCCACTAAGCATTGTAATTAAATCACAGCACAAATTTGTTGACAATGTTGATGGTATGTTGGTAGCTGTTTTATGGTTAGTCAAAGAACAATTTTTGTATTTGGATTTTTTAATAACCAAATTAGCATAAATTATTACTCTTGAGAAGGTTTGATTTTTATCTCTTTATAAATCCCCTTTATACTGATCATCAATAACCATATACATATACATATGGTTGGTGTATGATGAATCCTCTAAGAGAAAACGATTGCAAATCAGACATTGTTCAGATCATTTCTAAATAACATTTATTTGAGCTTACACCTCTGCCTACTCACATGTACTGGAAACAATAAATTGTAATGTTACCTTGGAATGACAATATTGGTTTTCTACAGTCTTCTATGATATCTGGACTCAGTGCTGACACTAAACTACAATGAAATAATGATATAAACAATACAGTATATTGAATGCATGCAGGCAATTTTATATGTTGTCATCCAGCTGTTTTTTACCACTGCACCTAATGCGCAACACAGTTCATCTAATCACAATATGGAATATGGCAGAAATAGGTAAACACAAATATCGTTCATGATTGTATCTCGTACATTACTTTGAGCAGCAAATTTTAAACCTGCATCAGTTTTTTTCCCCTTGATCAAGGCCTGTAGCCAGTAGGAAATTACCAAAAAAATACCCAAAAATAGGCAAAATGTTCCACTAATTTGGTGAAAATTTAGTTGCTACAAAATTATACAATTTTCACCGACCAGCAAAAATCACAGAAATTGGTTTCTTGCAAAAATTTTAGTTATGATCGACTGTTATCAGCCCAAATAAAAAAAAAAATATTTTTTTAAGCATTTTAATTGGTTGTTACATGTATGAAAATATTAACCAACAACTACAGTTACATGTATGATGAACACAGAGCACTTAAAGAAAATACTTTTCGGGATTATTGTTGTTTTGGAATAATAATGTAATTTATATTTGTCTGTACACAATAAGAAGCAAATAAACTGAATTGATATTGCGACAATCAACAGTCCAACAACATCGTACCTGAAAACTGCTATTCTTCCAAAATTGTTTCCAGTGACAAGAAATTTACCGCATGGTGAGAAACACTGAGAGAAAACAGTCATATGAAGTTGTTGTCGTTGCTTCATTATCGCATCTTCCTGAAAAAAAAAAGAAATATTCAAATTAGGGAAATATGAATTTCTTGGTAATGTCATGGAGATTGTTTAGCTACATGGTACATGTAATATACTACATTGAACGTTATTTTTCCATGATTAATAACCTGATTGCGTCTATTTGGATATGGATGCTAGCAGAGTCCCTCTATCTATCACGAAGACAATTTTTTCTTACGTTAGTGTTCGTACATGTATACTGTAAAATCACATATTTTCACTGACATTTAATTTCACTATTTTGATGTTGAGCATATTTACTGTATTTTAATTTCACAAATTTTTCAAGGAAACAATGGGTTTTATTATTATTTTACATATTCATGTAGATTTAATTTTGCGGATTTTACTCATCAACTTATAATTAATGCATTCACCACTGAGGTCTGATCAAGAGGTAGATGGGTTGAAATGTCCAGGGGCCCTACGTCGAGGTGTCTGATGAAAATCACGTTGAAATTATTTTGGTATAGTTATCCAGTACTCGTTGTACATGTATATATTAGTACAATTACACTTCCCTACTATCTGCAGTTCTGTAGATCTTTTGGTTTGTGGGGAGGTCGTGCCACAACAGACAAAACAACCCTCCTGGCAACAACAAATTACAGAAAACTTCAGCAAAAACCAAGGGAATTACAGAACTGCAGCTAACCCCCCCAATGCATTTCGTACCCCCGGGCCCTAATGCATTTTAATGCAAAATTAGTGTGCGGAAATACCAAGCAAGATTCAGTGTGCACAGGATCTCAGAAAATTAATACATACATATTTAAAAATATTACCGGTAGTATTGCACTTATTTCAGGCAAATTGTCAGTGGACATTCAGGTCGTCAGCTACAAGTCCCAATGCCTCACTCAGTACTCACAAAACCGGTGTCCAGTAAGACTGATCGTCGATGAGTCTAAAATAGACAAGTCATTGTCAATGACATGTCCCCGTTCCGTTCATATTTGAGTGACATATACATTCAAAGCAGATCATGACCGAAATGCACCTGCATATGTACAACACATTGTACTAAATCCATTGTACTGAGATCCAGTTTCGGAATTGTGAAAATGCGTGATTTTGATGCATTTTCTGCCTTAAAATGGCCATCATTCAGCTATTGTTAAGCGGATCATGAAACAAATGCACATATCTATTTGTGACATGATGTACCATGTGTGTGTGAAGTTTGAACTTGATCAATCCAGACATGTCTTGGATCCAGAACTGAATTCTTTAAAACAAAATGGCCGCCAGTCGGCCATTTTGAACTTGATCCAGAAAAAAAAATGATGTGCATCAAGGTCATATTATGTTTAATGTATGTACCAAATTTGAACAAAATCCGTCCATGCATTACTGAGATCCGGGTCCGGAATGGTGAAAATGTGCGATTTCAATGCATTTTCGGCCTTAAAGCGGCCGCCATTTGGCTATCATTAATGAGATCATGAAACAAATGCACATACATATTTGTGACATGATGTAACTTGTGTGTGTGAAGTTTGAACTCGATCAATCCAAGCATGTCTCAGATACGGATCCAGAACTGAATTCTTTAAAACAAAATGGCTGCTAGTCGGCCATTTCAAACCCGATCCAAAAAAAAAAATGACGTGCATCAAGGTCCTATTATGTTTAATGTATGTAATAAATTTGAACAAAATCCGTCCATGCATAACTGAGATCCGGGTCCGGAATGGTGAAAATGTGCGATTTTGATGCATTTTCGGCCTTAAAATGGCCGCTATTCGGCTATCGTTAATCGGATCATGAAAAACATGCATGTGCATAAAAAAAAAAGCAGCATATGTCCCATATAATGTGTGATGTATGAGTGAAGTTTGAACTTAATCGGTCCTTGCATGTTCGAGATACAGGTGATCACGGACGCACGCACGCACGCACGTACGCACGCACGCACACAGGGCAACACATAAGTCCCCGTTTTCGGACTATGTCCGAACGGGGACTAAAAAACCTGGGATGCGAAATCAAAACAAACCACGTGTGCGATACAATAGAAGATTTCACGAAAATTAGAGAATGCATAATTGCACAATTCATACTAAACGCAGTGCAGTGGTTGTATAAACTCGTCGCTATGCGTGAACTTCAACTTTACAAAAAACTACTACAATATTCCCTAAATTCTCACGATCTGCAAACCAACCTCAAATTTGTCCGCCATGATTGATGTTTGTTTGTTTGTTGTGTCTGTCTTACTTACTACTCTAGAATGTTACTGCGCAGGCGCAATGTCGTCATTCCCATCGAAATTTACCGTACACGTTGGATGGTCGTCACTACTATATCGTCGAAAACACCCAGTGCAGCGCAAAAAAACGGGACAATTTTTGCCCAAGATTATAGGGAGTTATACACGACTTACCACACTTCTCGCCGATTCAATTTATACGAATTAGAAGGTATGTTTATGTACTGTTTTTGATGTTTGAATTCGGGGGAATGGTTGTGTCCTGGCCGACATTATTAATAATTTCCGTGAATTCATCGGTGTTGAAAACAAAGACGTTCACATTATTAGTTATTTTAATTTGTTGGGATTCCGCAGGCGATAAGGAGTAAATATAATATATTCTGTAAGTTATCTACAAAAATTCCAAAATACTCGCTGGCTGCGGTGGAAGAGAAGGAGTTTAGCCCATATATGAAACATCTGTGTATGGCGTTATTGTGTCTTTTATTTAAATTCAGCGTCAGAATAAATAATATCGATCAGTTGTTTTACGTTTTGCATAAATGATTGAAACCTTTTTCGGCATTAGTCCAATGTTGACTAGCTTAATGGATTTACACAGTACACATAAAGTAAACAATGAACAGACAGTTAGACCATACCACACCAAAAAACAAAAAATATATTATACACGTATTCACAATACGATGTATAATAATCAACAACACTTGTTCTGATCCACCTGTGCATATTAATTAACTAACTAATTAGATGTGTGGCTTTGTTTAGGTCAAAGTTTGTTTAAGTTTCGATGTTTATTACATTCTAGTTGTGTATACACAGGCAGTGAACTTTGTATATACCTCTGGGGCTTCTTTAGTATTTATTTTACTTTACTAATTTTGTTTATTTTTTCGGGAGGACGCAGTATGGTGTTTTCTCAAACATTAACATGTCCATAGCAAAAAAAAAAACATGATATTTTCAAGAGTGATTTCACCCTTTGAATGAATTTATTAAAATGTAATATCTGCATAAACACACATATTTGTTTACATTGTTCTGGGATGTTTTGATCTGAAAGGAATGCAATTTCGGGGAAAATATCTTCACTACCATTTCTGTGTTTTACTTGTTTGTTGTACGACACCTGGAAGTCCTACGGTCAACAATACATTGTACATTTATTCCATGTGAATGAAAAATGAAAACTATGTTTACCATTTTTCAGTGTCTGCTGTTTTGCATACACTAAGGTCAACTTCCACTATAAACTTCAAGTAACATCTCCCAGGTGTAGGTTTGTTGACCTGTAAGTCATCGGGGCTCAGCTCAGGGCTCCACTTTAAATATATTTAAAGTAAAATAACTTAAGCGGTTTTATTTTGGATTCTTAACTGGTTAATCTTTCATTGAAAATGTGCTTAACCTTTCACTAGATTTATAATGCTCTAAACCTTTTAGCATAGAGGGTAATGTCAAAATAATTTCCAAAAAAATTGACATATTAGAGCTGAATGGTGTCAATTAATGCGAACGTATTGTTATTTATTTCTGTATGCTTTACAAATAGCAATGTGTATTTTGAAAATTTTCATCAACTTCTTAGGGAGGAGCATACATGTACTGTAAAAATTGAAATGTTAATTATTAATATTCCGTCTCATTTACATTATCATGGCATTGTAAGTATATATTACCACCTGGTACCATGTGAATTGCTCTTTTAATTGTTCTACATACGTGTTAATTGTAGATTGATTACATAGTGTGTATGCATACATTTACCAGGCTGATAGAGTAAAAAAGATAAAAAAAAAAAAATGAGTGTACATAGTTCTCCAAGTATTTATATTCTTGGTCTTGTAATTTTAAGCTTTGCTGTCATTGTAGATGACAGAGCAGAACTGGTCATGTGGGTGATTGTCATCAGCTGTCCGTCAGCAATTACATTTCCTTCTTCTTTCTGAAAACTACTAATACATTGTATATGTGTAACTTGAATTGACCTGTATTATGGTACCGTAGATTAGTTCCTTCTGTGACATTAGGGGAACACTCAAAGCTCTGCTGAAACAGCAAAGCTATTTCGACCATCTGGTCATTTGTTTTATGAATCATTTTTTTGTAACTATAAATGTTGTGTATTTTGTTAATGGATTTATAAATGGGCATTAGCTATCATACTGTGGTCTTTATAATGTACCAGGTAGTTATAAATACATACATTGTACATGTACATTTTGGGTTGAGTGTCAGAAGTAAAAATATGAGCATATCCAACCTACTACATGTACTTATTTGTTGTTTTAATCGTAGTTGCTTCTATAGTAAACAAAACTGAAATCGAATCAGCCATTTTCAATCAGAATAATTAAATTACATGAAGTATAATTTAGTTACAAAGTTTGATTGAGATTACTGGTAGTATGTCAGAGACACAATGATAGATGTATGTTTAATTTATGTACCAAGATGAATGATAACTGGTTCCAAAATGACAGAAATGCTAGATTTTGATGAATCTGTAACTTTAAAATGGCTATCTATGATGTGTTGTGTTCATTTTGAATGTGATCATTCAAGGCATGTCTGAGATGCAGGTTCAGGCGGACAGACGGACGGACGGACGGACGGACGAACGAACTGACAGACACACTCCCATAGATCCTTAAGTCAGAGAACAGTGAATCGGACTAATAAGCTATGAAATATTATTTACTATGACAGTATGTGTAATGAAAGTGAAACCTAGCTATGCAGAGCAGATATTCTACATGTACATTTTCTTTGACCACATTATCTTATTTACGTCACTGCTAAGTAATTGACTTGCCTGCTCAAAATGGGATAAGCTTGTTGACTTTTTCTGTCATTTTTACTGCCTTTAGTCGTAATTTTAGACAGAATAGAGAAAATGTGACATTGCTTTTAGATTTTTTATCAACAAATTTGAAATTTTCGTCAACATTTCCTGGGAAAAAGAGTGGACTAAAAATGGAACTATTTCGAGGATGATGCCAGAAGTTGACTTAGGTGCTCAGAAGGTTAAAATATGACTTATTTCGCCATAGCAACACCCGTAATGTACCTATTATATATAAAAGTGTATGCGCTTCTAATAGAGCAAATACGGTATCAAATGTAGCGCATTAGTCGCATTGATCCCAATAAAGCAGATATGGCAGGTTTGGTGAAATGAAACCATTCACTCTAGTTAATTATTTATTGTAGTAGTAGGCAATTAAATTGCTAATGCTAAAATTGGATAATTCTAGTCTTATTATTTTCATATATTATTTCCCTAAAGTATTGTTGCTGAGTTCCTAACTCATTAATAGTTGATGCAATGTGTTCATACCATGACTGGAAAGTTAAAAGCCTAGTTTGCAACATATCCGTCGGCAGAGTATTAACTCATTGCAGCATACCCTGAGTGGCAACATGTCTGGTCCAGGTGTTCTGTACTTTCAAGTCATACATGATTAATGTGTTTATAAAGCTTGTGTTCATGATGGATAAAAAAAAAATGTACTGTCTTTGTATGTATTCCGGTTTCTTATCCATCTATAGGGAGTTTTCAAGGACAGGAATTTGATTTTTGTGCATTGAGTGAAAGTGATTGTACACCAGTAGTAGCTTAGAACGACTTACGTGTAATAAAATAAATCAGCCACATTTAAAAGGTTGATTCTTTATGTCAATTAGGTTTGAAAATGTAGTAAAACAGCCATGGTCACCAAATTCAAAAAATATTTTAGGATTAAGTGGAGAATAAGCAAATGATATTTAGAAGAATTACTTACTTTATTAGAAGAGATGTTGTTGATCACAATCTCATAAAATACCTATCTCCTATAATGGATGAGTTGGTAATTTAATTTTCATTTGCTACTGAACAGGAAAGCCTTTCATTTCCAAGAGTCAGTCTTATTATTAAATGTACACAAGTCATAACTACTCTATTTATTGCAAATAAAAATTGGATTTTTTGTGTCTGTTGAGTACTAGAATTGTAATTTTGAGATCTGAGATCTGAGACTGAAAAATGCTATTCTGTTGTTGAAGTTCTTGTTTACGCCTTTCTGAAAGTGTATGTATATTAAGCTTTACGTTGCATTTCCGAAATAACAGTGGTAGTATAGGTACTATGATTCCTATCCAGAAAAAAAAAAAAATTATAAATTACTTTGTATTATTCATGTAAGCTTTTGAAAAGTGAGCTCCATGAAATATGAATTTTTCATTAGAATCATGTCGATTTATGCTAATCGAAGCCTTACTAGCCAGGATATGAACAGATAAAATTCGCCCATCAGTTCCACTACAAAATTTTAACACTTTATTATGGCTGAGGTTGCATGTAGGTACATGTAGATAAGAGGTGTGTCCTCACACTGACTGGGTTATTGTCTTTGCATAATACATGTAGGTAGTTGGTTAGATGTAGTAAGAGATATGTATACATTTTTGTACCAGCACCAATAAATCAACAACTGCTGGTTAAAAGCGACCCCTAACGTTGCTACAATTGTCAGGTATTAATAGTAATCAGATTTGCCTCAGACAACTGAGCTCTGGCAGTATGTACATGTAGCATGCATGCATATATACAATGTAGTTTTAACGTTGAAGCAAGTAACACAAACACGTACCATGAATTACTGTATTTTAGCTGTAAGTTTAGCTTGTCGTTATCATGTAATTTATTTTCACGGAACTGTCATAAATTATATGCAAGCCATTAAGATAGTTTGTCAATTTTTTTTTTTTTTATATAACTCAAACAGTAATAAAAGTCTGGAGAGGCGTCACTGATGTTAAATACTCCAAAAATATTACATATTTATTTATACCCAATTGACAAAAATAATAATGTCTATTATCAAATTAATTTTATATTACGGTATAATAATTTACATGGAGCATACAATAAATGTATTTTTTGGTTTGAGTGTTCTTGTATTGGAGATGTGCTTCTAATAGAGAAAATACAGTAGTATAAGATTTATAATATAATATAATGTAATTTTCATTATTCATTATTCAATTTTGAGTCTTGTGATGTTTGCTTGTCTTCTGATAATTACATTTTGATGCCTGGGTTTATTTTAATAGTTATCATTTCAGTGTTCATTATTGTTTGCTATCGAATGTCATATTTGTATTATGTCTGTTGAGTGATTTTGTAATGTGCAAAGATGTTAATTATAGTTAGCATGTATTTGT